CCTCTCTTACTGGCTTTTGGATATTTTATGGCATATTTATCATTGTACTGTTCACAGATTAAAATTAGAATATTGCTTAATGTCTATTGCTAGATGAGTTTCTAAATAATTTAAGCTGTAGATTGTTGTAACCCCTGATAAGAGGGAGTGTGCATTGAAGATTTGGGACCCGGAATGGGTTCACCAAAAACATAATGCTGATAAAGCCTTAACTTCCTTTCTGTGAAGAAATTTCTAGTTTGGTAGGGCAAAGGAAAACTATAGCTAAAATGTATAATTTTTCCTAATGTTCCCATGAGAAATGCAGGCTAACTAAAACTTCATTGTGGTGAAGTCACAGATGGTTGATCACTTCTGGGCTGCTGGTAGAGAGCGATAGTCCGGAGCAGGGTGTTGGTTTATGAATGTGTCTTGAGTTTATGATCTGGGAGCAGTTTAACAGTGGGGCCACAGTTATAGATTTAAAGCCTGACAAACAGTGCTGAATAGTGATCTAAAATGAATAAGATAGAATTTTACAGTCTAGAATTTAGGCTCAAAATAATCATCAAAGTCCACAAGGTTGGCTTGAACTACAATATTGGCGGTTCAGATTTACCAGTTGCTCCTCAGAAATCCTACACAGGGTCATGCAGGGTCGCTGTGAGTCGGAACCGACTCAGTGGCACTTAACAATAGGCGCTATTTTAGGCATTGAAGATACAAAACAGACGAAAATCCTAGCACTCAAGAGGTTTACATTTTAATATGGGAGACAGGTAACAAATGAAATCAGTAAGTAAATGATAGTGTGTGTTAGAAAGTCATGTGTATAGATGGTGGTGGTAGTAGTGTGCCTTGAGTCAGTTTCGACTCATAGTGAGCCTGTATAGGGTTTCCAAGGCTTGTAAATCTTGATGGAAGCAGAAAGCCTCATTTTTCTTTTGTGGATCAGCTGGTAGTTTTAAACTGCTGGACTTTGGGTTACCAGAGCTCCTTGTTACAGGTGGTATGATCAGGGAAGGCTTTGCTCAAAAGGTGAAGCAGCAACTACCTAATTATCAGGAGGCGGACATCCACATAGAACAGTTGGTACAAAGGCATACCTGGGGTACCAATGGAGCAACAGACATCAGAAATGGTGGAGTGGAGTGAGGAAGAGGAAGAATAGTAAGACACAAGGTTCTAGAAGTTGAGTGAGCAGGGCAGATTAACGAAAGTCCTGGTGTGGCACTGTCGCATAAGCACTGGACCACAAGGTTGACTTGAACTGCAAGGTCAGTGGTTCAAACTTCCAGTCACTCCTTGGAAACCCTATACAGGGTCACTAAGAGTCAGAACCAACTTGTCGCTAAAAGTCAGAACCAACTTGATGGTTCTTAACAACAACAATAGGCCATTGAAATTGCTTTGTTTTTTATTCTTAGTAGAATAAGAAGCCAATAGAAGGGAGGATTTGAGCAGAAGAAAGACTTTATATTTTAATAGAATCATTCTGTCTCAGTGTTAAAATTAGACTAAGGCTAGAGGTGGTGTAAGAAGGATCCAAAGTAGAGAGGTGAGTTAGGAGGTTATGGCATTAATCCATAATGGTTCAGACTAGTATGGTAGCAGTGGAGGTGCTGATAAGTGTTTGGATTCTGAATATTTTGAAGGTTGAGTCAAGTGGGTATTACTGTTGAATTGGGTGGGGTATAAGAAAACAGAGTCAAGGATGACTAAGGCTTTTTGTCCTGTTTTTATGTGCCGTAGAGTCGGTTCCGACTCATAGTGACCCTGTACAGGGTTTCCAAGGCTGTAAATCTTTATGGGAGCAGAAAACCTCATCTTTATCCTGCAGAACAGCTGGTAGTTTCAAACTGCTGACCCTGAGGATAGCAGCCCAATTCGTAACCACTACACTACCAAAGCTCCTTCTTGTTGTTGAGTGCTGTGGCATCGGTTCCGACTCATAGTGACCCTGTATAGGGTTTCCAAGGCTGTAAATCTTTAGGGGAGCAGAAAGCCTCATCTTTCTCCCGCGGAACAGCTGGTAGTTTCGAACTGCTGACCTTGCGGTTCGCAGCCCGATTCTTACCCGCTACGCTACCAGAGCGCCGTTACCAAAGCTCCTTAGCACCTGGTTAATGGAGTTGCCAGTAACTGACAAGGGGGAAATGTGGATGGAGCAGGTTTGGAAAGTGAATATCAAGATGTACATTTTGAGAACCACTTTCTGCTTTGAGGTAGGCCATAGCCAGCCACGGTGTCCAGCTGGAATGACATGATCCTAAAGCCTCACTTCCAATAAGAACTGGCCATGTGGTTCAACCAGCCATTGCAGACAATCTGTAGACTCAAGGTCAGACAAGCCAAAGCCCATCGTATCGCCTCACACCCTGCATCAGGCCCCATCTGGCCCATTGTGCCAGTATCACGCCACAGTCCAGGCTCGCAGGGGATTCAGCTTGGAAGAGCTGAGAGTGACAGGCATCACAAGAAGATAGTGCAGACCATGGGGATCTTTGTGGACCCTAGGAGGAGAAACAAATCCACTGAGTCCCTGCAGGCTAATGTGCAATGGCTGAAGGAGTACCATTCCAAGGTCTGCTGAAGAACTCAAACTGACCACTTAGCTGAGCAGACCAGTCAGACCAGTCAGACCAGTGATGCACATCCAGAATATCTACAAGGAGGAGAAAGCCCAGGACATCACGTAGGTAGAGAAGGATTTCAATGCATCTGCCAGTCTCTGCATGTCCCCCTCCAAAGTCGGCTTTTTGGTATCAGGGCAAAGAGGGCCAAGGAGGCTGAAAACAGGACATGGAGGAGAAAAAGTAAACCTGTGTCATAAGGAAAGGAGCTCTGGTAGTTTAGTGGTTACAAGTCGGACTGCTAACCTCAAGGTCAGCAGTTGGAAACAACCAACTGTTCTAGAAGAGAAAGATGAGGCTTTCTGCTCCTGTAAGTATTTACAGCCTTGGAAACCCTATACAGGGTTGCTGTGAGTTGGAACTGACACCATGGCACACAACCACCACCACTGCCACCATGTCATCAGGGACTTCAATAAAAGTGACAAAGCACCCCCCCCCAAAAAAAAAAAAAAGGATGTACATCTTAAGTTTGAAATGTGCATTAGACATCTTAGTAGTTCATCTATTCTTTCTGTAGGCCTTTGTAAGTAGTAGGTAGCTAAATCACACACTTTTTTTTTTTTTTTTTAATAAAACGTAGGAGGTAATAGTTGTGATAGGCTGAAACGTCAACCATCATCTGTCATGTTCCTAGAATCAACTCTGTTTACTCTTGAATGGTGCTGGAGACACAAAAGCAAGCCCTGTCATTGGCCGCCTCTTTCCTTTTGTATACATTACTCCTTTAGAGTGAGTTGCCAAGTCCACACATAGCTTTATATCTTCCTGAAGTTATACGATCTTAAGGCTATGTTTGGTCACTACAGTTGAACATGGAATTTCTTAGCAACTTAAGTCATTTATAGGTCATAGTCCTGGTGTGGCACTATAGGATAGCACTTGACCGCAAGGTCGATTTGAACTGCAGGGTTGCCAGTTCAAACTCAGCAGCTGATCCTCAGAAACCCTATACAGGGTCGCTATGAGTCAGAACTGACTCTCAACATCACTTAACAACAACAACAACACTTTTTAAATAATCTACTTATTACAGTGGTGATTTCTGAAAGAGTTGTTTTTTGTTTCCTCTTCATTTTGTTTTTGAATGGTAACCTTATGTCCTAGTAATAAATGTTCATTTTGTGAAAGTTGTGGAAAGTTGGTATCACTCTAAAGCCACACCAACTATGGTGCAGTATTTGGAAACTATGCCATATGGTTTGGTTGAAGTAATTGAGAATATTTCATTTTTTATCTGTAAGCAGAATATTTCTTACAGATAGAATTTATTAGATGGACCACAATGTAGATTCAAACCACAAGGTCGGAAGTTCAAACCCATCAGGCACTCCTCGGAAATCCTATACAGGGTCACCATAGAGTTGGAACCGACTCGACAGCACTTCTTAACAACAGCAGTGTCTAATTGGGTCCATGTGCATGAAGGGCAAATCCACCCTGTTTTCCTGAATTAACACTTTTTGTGTGTGTGTGTGAAACCTGTAAGGCAAGGACTATATCTTCCCACTCTTCAGCACATGTACCATTGCACACAAACCTCAGTAACAATTAACTAACAAGTTTACCCAGCTAGAGCCTAAAGCTAAGGAAGATACGGTCATTTGACAATCATTTAGTCACCTTAATCCAAGACATTACAGAACCACACATTCTACTCTCTCTCCAGCTACTCAGCTCACAAATCCATTCCATGTGCCAGCTAAGGGAAAAGGTCACCAGTAGAGATGGCTTAGTAACTTTGTTATTCTGGCTATACTTTTACTCCCTGATAGTCCAAACAATCAATTTCACAGTGAGTAACTTAGTAACCAGGAGAAAGGTGACATTATCATAAAAACATTTAGTGTTAGAGAGTACTTCAGAGATATTTCACCTCATTTAAAATAGAAATTATTTCAACAGCCTTAAAACTCACCTATTTTTTCTTTAGTATTTCCTAAGATATGAAGTTTCCCACATCAGCAGATTTATTTTACTACAGAATGAAACACTGCCCAGGCCTGCAGCATCCTTACAATAGTTGTTACCCTTGAGCCCACTGCTGCTGCCATGTGGCAGTCCATCTCATTGAGGGTCTTCCTCTTTTTTGCAGACCCTCCACTTAATCAAGCATGATGTCCTCCAGGGACTGTTCCCTTCTGATAATAGGTTTAGAGTATGAAAGACAAAGTGTCACCATAGTCCTCATTGCTCCTCATAGGAAAAGTAAAAATAACTAGGTAAACAAAATGAGTATTCTTAATGCCTATCAGAATAAAGACATATATACATTTAAGTCATCATCCAAGTAAATAAGGCTAGTGTACAGCACATTGTAGAACTATTTAAGTATGTATTTTATTTCTGTTATATATAAAAATTAAGGATCTCATGTTTACTTTATAGGATCTAAGCCTCACCCCCGTTATGGATATAAACCCTCCCCACCAAATGGATGTGGCTCCCCATTGTTTGGTGTTCATGTAAGTATTGTTTTTATTTGTTAAGTTTTATGACCAGAAAATTATGTAAGTATTTTAAAATGCAAAACTATTAATGTGTTCTCCGGTTCATGAATATAATTATATTTGTTGTTACAGTGATCAGGCTTATTACATCCTTTAAAGGTTAAAGGTAATTATAACAGAACTTGATGTTACATTCTGTGGAATCAGTTCCAACTCATAGTGACCCTGTATAGGGTTTCTTAGGAGTAAATGGTGGGTTTGAACCACTGACCTTGTAGTTCAAACTGACCTTGCAGTCTAGTACTATATCCTACAGCACCACACCAGGATTCCATAACAAAACTAAGTGGAGTAATATTACTGTTTTATTTTTTAATCTTATAGATGTTAAATTATATTTTCTAATGTCAAAAATATGGTTTCAAAGCTTACGTTAGAATATTTCTTAGGGGAAGAGGGCATAGATGAAACATAATTTTCTGCATTAAATCTAGGCTAAGAGGGATAGCTAGGGTCCTGGTATGGCACTGTAGGAGAAACATTGGACTGTTAACCACAAGGTCAGTGGTTCAAACCCACCAGCTGCTTTCTATACAAGGTTGCTGTCAGAACCAACTCAACAGCACTTAACAACAACAACTATTGGGATAGCTGTGTTTGTACCTGAGGCCAGATCTGAGCCAAGTACTATAGAGAAAAGAAGTCATGAAAATAATTCATAGGCAAATAGTTTTTAAGAGGGGGCTTCAAAAGTTTATGGAATAATGCATTAAAAGTTAATGGAATTTTGCCCTGAACTTTTTAAAGCTCTTCACATGTATAAAGTTATATAAAATAATTAAAGAAAGGCTGTTAGATTTGAAGTAATGGCGTCCTTAGGGAATACATAAACACTTAAAGAATTAACACCAAAGTTTCATTATAACAAGCTCCAGAGTGACATTTCACATAAAGTATGTTGTATTTTGGGGTCCTGGTATGGTGCTGTAGGATAAGCACTGGAATACTAACCACAAGGTTGGCGGTTCAAACCCACCAGCCACTTCTTAGAAACCCTGTACAGCATTTCTAGGAGTTGGAACCAACCATACAGCACTTAAGAACAACATATTTTACTTTGAAAAATGTGAGAACACAACAACTTTGAAATACCCAAAAATCATACTTTCCTAACCCCTTCAGAAATCTCTTAATGCCATTAACCTTACTTTTCGGGGAGCACAGTGGCTCCATAGGGCAAGCACAGAACTCTGAACCACAAGGTTGACAGTTTGAGCCTACCAATCTGCTCTGTGGGAGAAAGATGAGGCTTTCTGCTCCTACAAAGATTATAACTTCAGAAGCCCTATATAGGGTCACTGTGAGTCCAAACCAACTCCATAGCACTTAACAACAACACCGTTACCTTTCTGTTTGTAAAATTGTTTTTTGTAAAATTGAAAGTTGTGTTTGTTCTGGCAGATAAGCTATGATATTTTAACACTGCAGAATAAGGAGCAGTGAGGCACCGCTGAGAAAGGAGTCACATGATGGGTCTGAATGAGAGTAATGGGATGATTCACACCTGGGAAATATTTGCAGACAAAAGGGATTTTGGAAATTAACGAGGAAGCAGTCCTTGTCATTTATAGCTAATTCTTTTCTGAATGCAGTATTTCAGCATTCCAAAAGAGAAATTTGGAGTTTCATTACAATAATCCAACCAAATGCCTCTCTCAGCTTAACATCGGCATCCCTTCCCTGACGAAGTGCTGCAACCAACACGACAGGTGCTATGAGACCTGTGGCAAAGGCAAGAATGACTGTGATGAGGAGTTTCAGTATTGCCTCTCCAAGATCTGTCGAGATGTACAGAAAACACTTGGACTAGCTCAGCATGTTCAGGGTAAGGTTGAGTCTAGTTTTCAAAGTTTTATTGAATGTTTTATGTTTTAGTGTAGGATTTGCCAGTAGAAGCCATTGTGTATTATCTTTTGTCACACAATCCGTTTAGTTTTCTGAAGTAAGAAGTGGTAATTTGTGTAATCTGTAATGGTTATAGTCAGAGAAATAAAGCAGTAGGAAACCTTGCAGGGAGAATGTGTGAGGTAGTGACAGAGAATTCCTCCACCTTGAGCTCTTGTACTTTTTAACTAGTGACAGCCTAGTCTAAAGTCTGAAACCTTGAATCCAGTGAAGCTAAGAGTAGAATGATTTGGAACAGGAGGTTCTAGAAGATTTGAATCTCAACTTTGTCTCTGTGGATCCTCGGACAGAATTCTTGGCCGCTATGAGCTTCAGTGGCATTCACAAAATGAAGAGGATGATAATGCTCACCTCACAGAGATGTCATAAGGGTGAAATGAAAATAGTATTTGTGAAAAATACAGATCGCAATTCAAATATTGGTAGTTACAGCAATCCCGTCCTGTCACACTAAGGAATGTACTGTACACTGAAATCAGAAGAGGAAGAGCAATGGGAAGGAGCAGGAAAGGACACTAACATTTGTAGGCACTTAGCCATAGCACTAAACCACTAGGTTGGTTTGAACCACAATGCTGGTGGTTCAAATCCAGCAATCAGTCACTCCTCAGAAACCCTATGCAGGGTCGCTCTGAGTCGGAACTGACTCGACACTAACAACAACAACAACCATAGGTGCGATGCTTGATACTTTATGCACAGTCTCATAAAATGCTCACAAAAACCCAGTGACGTGCATGGTGTTACACCCATTTGTCAAGGAAGGAAACTGAGGCAAAGAAACAAGTAACATATCCCAAATTATATACTTAGCTTTCAAACCAGGACTGTGTGTGTGCTACAGTGCCCCTCATAGTCTCATAATAGAGAGCTGATTCTGAAATCCTAATCATGACTGTCATGAAAGACATCCAGGTGAACCTCTATCTTTAGCGTGCTTTTGACTAAGGTAAACGAGTTGTACAGTTGAAGTGTACGTGGTTATTATTTTCTGTTTTCTTAATTAAATAGCCCTAACTTCTGCTTATGTTCCTTTAATGGCACTGTCTTTTGTAGAACTTTGAAAATGTTGTGATTTTTTTTCCCCCTTAATGAAATCATAAATATCAAAATCGTGAAATGGAGTATTGAGAATATAAAAAAGGAAATCCATTCCCTGTTTTTACTGTAAATAAATAAATAAAAAACTAGCATGGGAAAACCCCTTGATTGCTGTACCCCTCCTCCCACGAGCCAAATTTAAATATTACATTTACTTTGTTGTTAAGTGCCACAGAGTCATTTCTGACTCATAGGAACCCTGTATAGGGTTTCTTAGGAGTGAGCAGCTGGTGAGTTAGTACTGCCAACCTTGAGGTTTAAGACCCCTGCATTTACTGTGGGCATTTTAAATGATGTGATGAGTTCTTAAAGCAGCCATTGATCATGATTAAATTGTTTTTGTTGTTGTTGTTAAACTTTTTATTGTAAATTGAGGAAAGGTTTACAGACAAGATCATCAGTTTGTTTCAACAAATCCTACACTTTGTTTCATCTCAATGATTGCAATCCCCCCATGTAGTAAAAGTTTTCCTGCTTCTTCCCTAAGTTCTTATTTCCACTCCACTCTCCTTCCCAGCTTTTCTGAACTTTGTCCTTAGGTAAATGTTGCCCTTTTGATTTTGAGTGATTTGACCATTCCATGGTGAGCAGACCTCACTAGTGTTGTTATCCTCCTGTATCTGCTGGTTGGCTGAAAATTGAGTCACAAGAGTGAGTTCCTTTCCATACCTGAGTTTCTCTAGTCTCTTTCTGACCAGTAAGCCCTGTCCATTTTCTTTTTTATAATTTTTGAGTTTAGTTCCACATTTTCTCCCACTTTATCCAGGAGCTTCTAATGTGATCCCTTTCAAAGCAATTGGTAATAGTAGCTGAGCACCATCTAGTTCTGGTCTCAGAGTCTTTCTTGTTCATTGATGTTCCATTGGTTCATTGGATTAGTTAATTCCAAGCATCTTCAAATTTTTATCACTCTTTCTTCCACACATTGAGAGACCAGCAGTTACGCCTTAGATGGCATCTCTTGAGCTTTTATACATCAGTTGCTACTCACCAAAATAGGTGAACTATGTTATGCTAGTTAACCATGATGCCCCCTGAGACTGTTGTCCAGGAATTCATTGTCTTAAGATGTTTGATAATATCTAAAAGTTTTCATCATTTTGCCCCCAGTAATGACCTACCACATTCATAGGTGTGTTTGCAGCGAAGGTAAATACCCATGTATAAATACCCTCTTTCAAACCCTTATTATATACTTGTGGGAGTACTCCCACTCTTCCTCACATCCGTTCAGCCTGTGGCTCTTTCCATGTATCTGCTCATAGGACACTGTAGTTCCAGAATTATGTATCTAACACTATTTATTCCTTTAATCCTAGAAAACCTCCCTTGTGTCTTCACCTGTCTTCATCATCCTTCTGCCAACCTTTCCCTTCTTGTATATGGCCCTCCCTGTCACCTAAGTTAACAGGGTCAATATGAGTCGGAACTGATTCAACGGCACTTAACAACAACCCCCTAGCCAGCGAATTATTGAGGTTTCTTTGAAAACACAAACAAAACAAAGAAACTTCATTTCTTCCACAACTAAAATATCTTTCCTTGAAATGCAAACTCAATAGTGTTACCTGGCATCTCTACTAGTGATCTTATTTTTCAGATAAAAGCAAAGCTAATGCTGATAACTGGTAAGTGTTACTAAGACAGGCTTTCATTTATCTAGTGTACAACATTAGGTTGAGCAATTGAATGCAAACAAATAGTAAGAAACATGGTAAATAAACTGAGGCTTCAAGTCTCTGTAGGGAGAGGCTCCTGACTTGCAGGGTTTGAGATGCCTGTCCCTGGCATCCATTTGAGAGGTGCTTGATGCTGTACCATCACATGTGATGTATGTGGAGAGAGACAGATGTGTTGCAGTTGCCCCACTGTAACAGCATGTGTTACTTTTGCAGCCTGTGAAACAGCTGTGGAGCTCTTGTTTGACAACGTTATCCATTTAGGCTGCAAACCCTACCTGGACAGCCAAAGAGCCGCGTGTTGGTGTCGCTATGAAGAAAAAATCGATCTTTAAAGATGCTGACAGTTGGCAACAGCATGCATGGAAGAGGATGGAGGACTAGATGTAACTTTTGACAGAGAACTAATGTTTTTACATCATAAATCTGCCTTATTTTATAGATGGAGTATTTTCAGACCTTACAAGACTTTATATTTTGACATTATAACCTCAAACTTTAAACAACAACAACAAGCAAAACACAAAAACAAGTGGGGGTGAGTGGGTGGGTGGGTAGGAGGAAGGACATGCCCACCCTCTCAGGTATCTTCCCAAATGCCTCAGTGTGCCAAAGTGTCTTAACGTGTC